TCCTGGCCTGTAGATGAGTGTAAACTGCAGAGTCCTGGCCTGTAGATGAGTGTAAACTGCAGAGTCCTGGCCTGTAGATGTTGCTCTTCTGTGTTTTTTTTTATTTATAAGCCCATGCTTTGGACCGACACAGACAAACACCAGAATAAACATCAAGGTGGGGCCCAGAACATTTTCTGAAATAATTACATTTTAAAATTACTACTAACAACTATTTGTTTGCCTTAGTTACCTTAGAAACTGAATATCGCAATTTTCAGAGTGTCAATATTTTCTTAAATAAGCTAAAACTAATGATGAGCATTCAAACAACAAACTTTTCACCTCTCTTCACCTGTGAACTGCGTCAGCTGGAGTTTTTTTTTAATATATAAATAAAAAAAGGTAAAATGATTGTTTTGTTATTTCAAAAATAAAAAAATACAGAACAGGGCCAAGCAGCCTAAGGATGTGAGGATAAAACAGGGTTTTGTTGCTTCTGGGAGCTGTTGGGAGCCACAGTCCGACCCTCCCAACAACCACACAGTGTTTCAGAGATGTATAATAATAACCTAAGTCTGAGCACCACTGGGTCAGCAGAGTAAGTTACAGACTTTTTAAAGAGAAATGCAGCTTTAGATTTTAGAGTTCTATCTTATTCAGAAGTTGTATTAAAGGCAGGGTTTTCCAGCTCTGATGTAACCTTTGATACCTGACGAACATTCCTTGGAAGTGTGTGAAGCGGCTAAGCTCCGCCCCCTCCGCTTTCAGCAGATTTTAAAGAGTTTAACCGCAGATAAGAACCGACAAACTCTCCGATCTGAAGTGTACCCTGACGAACATCAGCGTCCCGTACAAATAAACAAAACCTTCACGTCGCCAGAGAAAACAGAAAATTAACTCGTCTGACACCCGACACCACGACGCAATGGCTGGAGCTGCTGAGGCCCGAGAAAAGGGGGGGGAAAGGAGCCAGGGCTTCAGGCTTTAAACCCACTCAGACTCTGGTAGTGATCTTGTGTCACAGAGAACACGAACAACAGCTTACACGGATAAAAACACACACTCTGCGATGAGTTGTAACTTCTGAGAGTGGCAGAAAACTCCCGTTCTGCTGCGGTACCCTGCGGACATGAAAGTCCGAAGTTCCACACAGCGCAGCGGCAGGTAGAAAGCAGACCGCGGACTGATCCAGCTCACTCCCGCCTGGCTTCTTACATTCATTGTTCTGCTCGCTTTGGATTTCGTTTGCCCTCCCTGGCGGGTCGAAGAAACAAACAAAGTGAACGTACCGTGAAGCTGGGCCAGCAACAACAGGCAGCTCCAGAGCAGCAGCAGCAGCTCGGCCAGCAGACCACCCATCTCAGGTCCTTCAGATCCAGAACTCCCGCTCCATGTTGGGTCAAAGATGGCCGCTCCTCTCCGACTTTATGAAGTTCGGGTAAATGTGAAGGAGCTAGTTTACTGTGTGTTCGGCCGGAGAGTCACTCTTTAGTTACTTTTTTCCTTTAGAGACGCTCGCGCTTCTTTATATTTTGGACCATTAGCCTCGCGCACGAAGAAAAGGGCAGGCCTTAGTGGGCGGAGCCTTAACACGACACCGGTACGAGGAGAAACTTTTCTTCTTCGTTTGCTTTGTTTTGTTTATAGCCTATCACCCGCCGCTGAACGGCTATAGCGGGTCACTTTATTTTTTTGCATTTCTTTATATGAGTGAGTGCATTCTGAATGTTAGCAAAATATCCCATGAAACTCTCAGAAAGTAATCATTAGATGTTGATCTATCAGAATGTGTTTGCAGAAGATTTTTCTGAGCTTCCAAGATAACAACAAATGGGATGACGTGGCATATTTTAAAACATGGATGGGCAACTGCTGGCCCACAGGCCACATCTGGCCCAGGGGTGATTTCCTTTGGCCCACCAATGAAGCCCCGCCCCCTCAAAAATAAACAGTATGAATTTAGCCATTTCTCCTCCAAAAATGTGCCTGTTGTAGAACCAATCATTGCTACTGAATCACCTCAAGTCAAGGCAGAACAACTCAACATGAAGGTAACCCTCTTCAGTGTTAAGCCATCATCTTCAAAGCTTTCATCACAGGGGGAAAAAAAGCTGTAACAACTCTCAGCCTAAACCAAAACATCACCATTTTACCAGCTGGCAAAGGAAGAATCACAGCGGTCCTCGACACTTGATTACCAGGACAAAATATCCACAATAGAGTGACACCACTACATAGACCTTCAAGAGATGCTCAACAGATCACAGACTACCTGCAAAACCTTGAAAATGACAAATTAATAAATCTTTAAAAGTAAAATTGCAAAAAGAAAACAGACACGTTGTGTTTGTTTGTTTGTTTGTTTGTTTGTTTGTTTCCCTTTTGAAAATTCAAATGTAAAATCAAACTAAATAAAAATGCTGTGTTTGATTTTAGCTTTAAGTATTTAAATCTTAAATAAAATATACAATTTCTGTTATAATATGTAGCGATTGCCACAGAAGAGGAGTTTATTGTTTCTGAAAGACTGCTATGAAACCAAAACCAATCCTAAAGATATTGGCAATGGATGCACTCAAGTCTGATTCTGTAAACCATGGAATATTAACGCAATTTTGTTCACAGTAAAATAACTCTCAAGATGCGTCAACTCCTACATAAGCTGTGCTAAGTGAAAACATAATACACCAGGAGTTAATGCATGATGATTTCTGGTTCCGCCAGAAAGTAACAAATGGTTCACTAACAAAATATAAAGTTTGTTTTTGCTTTAAATATTAAAATGAAAAAAATAAGTTGCCTTTTTAATTTTGCCTTTGTAATTTTTCCAGTTTAGTTTTAAATCCAAAAAAAAAAAAAAACCAGCAGATTTTTCTATTTTTATTTTTTATTTTTTTTAAATGGAAATATGAAAGAAAGAACCATACACGGGTTCAGGAAAAACCCTTGTATCATTTCACTTCACTTTTCACCAACATTAGAGGCAAAAGGTCAGAAAACAGCTTCAACAAGATCCTGGTCTTAAAGGGGCATGATTACTTAACATTAGACATTATTTGACAAACATTTACTTTAACTGTAATACAAATACTGTAGATAGTTTAGTTTTTATACATATTTTTTAAAGATATATACAATTATGTATTAGCTTGGGCGCTATTGCCATATACTGTAAATCAGGGGTTTTCAAGCCTTGGGTCTGGGGACCCCTTCCAATGGCAAAAAAAAAAAAAAAAAATCCCAGGGACCCGCTCATAAACCCCATGCTGTTTTAAAAGATAATTTATTGTCAGTTCAAGCCCTAAATACCATGGGAACATATATATTTATTAAATTTTTTATGTTTGTTTTATTAGTTCATTGTTCTCCACACATTTTCAAGAATAAAAACAAAACAAAAAAAACGTTAAATGAAAATTTTTGAGGACCCCCAAGCTACCTTTCACGGACCCCTGGGGGTCCTGGGACCCCAGTTTGAGAACGTCTGCAGATTGTTGCTAATGCGAAAGCTAACAGGCTAAACTGAGGTTCAGTTTCAATATCTCTCTTACACACAAAAGCACACACACTAATATTGTAGTCATCATACAGGCATGGAACGTCATCAGCAAATTCAAGCATAAGTGAAATGCACCAGAAATTTCATTTAACAGAAACTGTCTAACATGTTATGAAGTCTTTGTCTCTTTACAAAGCAATAAGTGTGAGTCAAATTTAGGTATATCAATTTAATTTATTTAACCATATTTAAAACCCCATTGACATCGAGATCTCATTAGGGGACCTTGGCACAAATTAACAGCACACATCATAAAATAATTACACAAGTCACGACCATAATAAAATGACAAACATTCTGACAATTTATACAGTTAATAAATGTTTTGATAACAACACAAATTTGGTCAGATTTGTTTAGATTCAGAACAACATTCAGCGACTGGTCAATCAACTGGGGTGGCACTTGGGGTGGCCAGTCAGGTGCCACCCCGTCCACCCCTCTGGTGTTGCTCCTGATGTCAGGAACTTGGAAAATAGGAAAAATGTTGCTGATGAGCTGTAAGAGAGAACTGTCATGACTGACTTTACACCAAAAGAGGTTCCAAAAGTTTGTTGTGATCCACCCTTGTTCTGATGCAGTGTGCAGTGAAGAGGTCGAAGGTAACCAACTAAACTAACGTATTAACAACTGTTTCAGTTAATACTCTCATTTTTGTTTATGTATAAAAGCAACTAAATTAGGGTTCTGAAAGCCGTTTGGTTGTAGATATTAATAATGAGAAACCAAGCTACTATAGGTTTGAGTACACGGAATATTCGGAACTTACAGAGATTTCGTCTGTTTCTAATTATTGTGGATTGGAAAAAAGGAGAGGAAAAAAACAAAAACAGGACTTTCCATTATTCAACCCACCATCCAAACCCATTGGACCACTGCTTTATGGCACAGCTGCTCTACATACCTGAAGAGTTTCCACTGAAGTGATTAACAATCAACATATTGAGGATAAATTAATTTGGTTTGAATGACGGTAAATAAATGGGTTTTCTAAACTCAAGGTATGCTGTTGTTTGAAGAGAAAGGAAAAAGAAGGAAAAACTCCCAGGTTTCTGCCTTCACACACGTAGATCTAAGACTAACACTGTCATTTCTTTTTGAAGGTATTGCTTCTCTGCTCCAACTGGCCTCAGCTTTAAAGGCTCTGTAAACTCAAAGCACATGTTTTCCCTTTCTGTGTGTGTGAAGAGAGGCAGGCAGCTATTTCACACCGCATGCAGCACTGACCACATGTGATTGTTCTGCTAACAACGCTAGGAGTGGGTCTAATTATGACCCACCGCGAAGGCGGGCGGTGATGTTTTTGCCTCTGTCTTTTGTATATAAAGAGTTGGAAAATTAGTTCTAAGGATTTTTCCCATAGCACATCTAAGCCTGGGGAGCAGTTGGGGAGTTAAGGGCCTTCCTTAATGGTGCAGAGTGGGGCAAATGAGGGTTGTCCACCGGTACAAATCGAAAACTTTTGGGCTCACCATCTCTAACCTATTCACACCACCCATGTCTGTCAGTGAAATATCGCTTGAATAACTCAACAAATTTTGAATAAAACTTGCAGAAAGTAATTACAGGACATACTGTACCTCTCTACATGACTGCCACAGTCAAGTGAACCTATAAACACAAAGGTTTTCAGGTTTTAGAGGAGTAAAACCCAGGAACGCAGGTCAGCATGCCCTAGGTCCCTCTGAAAATGAGACCTCAATCTCAAATCTGGTTTTAAATCTGGTTAAAGAAAAGTAAGTAAAAAGTACAAAAAAAAGACTGAAACAAAGCCACCCACAAGCTGTAAGACCTGTATCAGTAAGTGTTTGAAGTATCATGTTTCTTCTGTTATTTATTTGTTCATCTGGCTTAAAGGCACTGCTGAAGCTTCTCTGGTCACACTTTATAGTTTCTTTTCAATTTTCTTCTTTGTTGTTTTATTGCTGCCAAGCTCGGAGGTCAGAACTGGGCTTCACTGTTGCTACAGCAAACAATAAAAAATTTAGGTTCTGATCCAATCACAGCTGTTATCAGTCAGAGAAACCAGAGACTCAACAGGTGATGGACAAAGACAGTCCAGGCTGCAAACCTTTGGAGTCTGACTGGATGAGATCTGTACACACCTGCAGAACCCTGAATCAGATCAGTACCTGCAGAACCCTGAATCATGTCAGTACCTGCAGAACCCTGAATCATGTCAGTACCTGCAGAACCCTGAATCAGATCAGTACCTGCAGAACCCTGAATCAGATCAGTACCTGCAGAACCCTGAATCAGATCAGTACCTACAGAACCCTGAATCAGATCAGTACCTACAGAACCCTGAATCATGTCAGTACCTGCAGAACCCTGAATAGATCAGTACCTAAAGAACCCTGAATCAGATCAGTACCTACAGAACCCTGAATCAGATCAGTACCTGCAGAACCCTGAATCATGTCAGTACCTGCAGAACCCTGAATAGAACAGTATACCTACAGAACCCTGAATCAGACCTGTTCCTATAGAACCCTGAATCAGATCAGTACCTGCAGAACCCTGAATCGGATCAAGACCTGCAGAACCCTGAATCAGCATTATTCACGTGATTATTCAGAGAACTCTCCTTAGCCTCTCCAGTAAGGTCTTTTCAGGGGTCCTGGAGAAGAGAGTCTGATCGATGTCGAACCATGGTCATGGGAATTTGCTAATCCAGTTTACATAAGTTTTGTGGACTTGGAGAAGGCATTCAACCGTGTTTCTCGAGGTACACTGTGGGGGGTGCTACGCGAGTATGGGATTGTGGGTCAGTTGTCACAGGCCATTCAGTCTCTATATGAGCGGTGCAAGAGTTTGGTTCACATTGCAGATAGTGATTTGGACCCCTTCAGAGTGGGAATTGGACTTGACCAGGGTTGCCTGTTGTCACCAATTTTGTTCATAACTTACATGGACAGAATTTCTCAGTGCAGTCAGGGGGTGGAGGGAGTCTGGTTCAGCATCTGGAAAGGATGCCTCCTGGACGCCTCACTAGGGAGGTTCTTCAGGCATGTCCAACTGGGAGGAGACCCCGAGGATGACCCAGGACACATTGCAGAGACTATGTTTCTCGGCTGGCCTGAGAATGTCTCGGACACCTCCCAGAAGAGCTGGAAGACATGGCTGGAGAAAGAGAGGTCTGGGTCTTCCTGCTCAATCTGCTGCCCCCGCGACCCGGCTTCGGATAAAGCGGAAGATAATGGATGGATGGATGGATGGATGGATGGATGGATGGCTGGCTGGATGGATACAACATATAAATGAATTTGACAACGTTTACTCATTACCTCTCATTTTTGACATTGTATTTTTATTTTTTCAGTCCAAACAATGGGAGCCAGTTATAAGTTCAAGCTGTGCCCCTGAGTGTGATTCTCAGCCATAATGTTCAGAGAAGTCAAAATAAGTCATGGAAAACAGGGTTAGGTGTCAATACAAAAGAAATCAGGAGAAAAAAATGATTATAAATACCAGTATAATGATGGTATATGATAAATGACCTGAACTTAAATAGCGGTTTAGCTATGGTGGGCCATTTCATTCAAAAAATAAATAAATAAAAACTGAAAAAAATTAAGTCCATCCGTCCGTTTTCTGCCACTTATCCGGGGTCGGGTCACGGGGGCAGCAGCCTAAGCAGAGAGAACCAGACTTCCCTCTCCCCAGCCACTTGGGCCAGCATGTCTGGGGGAATCCCAAGGCGTTCCCAGCCAGCCGAGAAACATAGTCC